GTGTGCCCCCCACCCTCCAGCCCGTTCGATGCACCCACGACGCACCAGCACTTGAAAATTCAAATCTACCGCTCAAAAGCGGAAAGCTTACTGGCACGTTTAGTACCAAGTTTCGACCACAGGTTCGCAACGATCGGCAACTCCGGAGCTGTTTTCAATGTTTTCGGTCCACGTAGACCGCGGATCGTTCTGCTTTTCATCCCTTTTAATATATATATTAGATACTCTACTAGTATATATATCTGTATATTAGATACTTTTCTGATATATATACATGAACCCGCCGAAGGATTTATACTCGAGTTTATACGTCGGAAACGACTATTTCAAAACGGACTAGAGAATTCACGGTGGTTCTCGCAGGGTTTTGCAACGCGGTCTTTTTACGAGGCGACGCCACTAGCGTCTTTCGTCAAGCCACGACGCCATAAGTATTTCCCTCAGGGAATCCACGTATACGGATACGAATTTCGAGCTACGTGAATTGCGGCCTTTTTCAGTTTTCGTAGGGTTTTTAAGGGACGCCAACGAACCGGACGAAAGGAATGGAAACTCTGGCACGCTTGACGCATGTAGTATAAAGGAGGGTTACGGGTGGGTTGCAAATAATCAAAAGCACGCGTGCCACGCTCGGAATAAAAGTGTGGCCAGTGAGAGAAGAAAAAAAAAGAGAAACATACGACTGGCTTGGGAATAAAATCGAGCCATAAACAATGATGGAACTGTGTTCTCTCTCGCGACCATTTGTAAAACTTGCGTTCCTCACAAACTTTCAAACAAATGCACGAATATTCCTCTACCCGTTATATTTCTCGGACGTTCGACTGTTTGGCAGCTACGGGAACGGAGCGCGATTCTGAGACTAACACTAGAATGAAGTAGCATAGGAGATTGTCTGAGGTAACAGTGAAACACTCTCGTGCTCGACATTTTTAACCTTTCGTCCCATTTCTCTCTCTTGATGTTCCTTTACCAGAAACTCAATTCCACAGCACTTGAGAATAAAAAATTGTTAAAACTTTACCCTCGCCTCCGACTATACGGATACGAAAAACGTAGCATGGATTTGCCTAGAGCAAAGGAAAGTGAATTGCACTTTGATAATAATACTGCATACATATAGCGCGACTGCTATTGCCCTTACTTGCCAAGGAATTGCCTCACTGCGTTTCCTCCCGTATAAAGTAGAAAGCAAGAGAAATAACAAGGAGCTAGAATAGACGGTAGAAATTGAAAATAGAGCGTAGGGCAACACGAGAATGAAATGCAACTACGTATCGCTGTACTACGCGAATATATCGTCAGTTCCATGTTGCTACGTAGATGCACGTGAAACCTACGTAAAAAGTTTACAGCTTTGACACACTCTGTCGGTAAAACAGTTCCGTGCTGTCAGGGTCGGTAACACTGATGACTTGAAAGTGGCAGCAGCGTAGACAGAGTAGCAGACGACGAAAGTTACGCTGCAAACAGTTGCAAATGGCGCGATCAAAGTTCGGAAACAACGAAGAGTGCGGAGCGACGATGTATACAAATTATTGTGGAGATAATAATTCAGTTGTTATTAAATTTAATTATTTCAATTGTGCAGTCACGAAAAAAAGACTGCTAAGAAATTGAAGATGGTTGTGACTCGTCGATAGGACGCTGTCAATTTTCCGGGAGTTTTACTCGCAAGTAACAACGACGGTCGGCAGCTGAGTGAAGAACAGCTGGTTTCATTCTGCCAGGAGCATATTTCACTGGGGAGTCAAAGAAAAGTAATGAAAACCGTGGCCGAAGCCGCGGAGAGGTTTCACACACGAGCAAACCTTGGACCATACGAGCCAATAATTTAAATTGCTGTTGGAGCTTGAATTGCTTTTAAATTATCGCCCGTCCGCATGTATACCACAGCTGTGACGATAGCAGGACAGTAAATGTAAGCACACAAGTACGCGACGCCTCCTGTTCAATGAATTTCCACTAACCACCCACTGGAATTAGTGACATTAAAACCGGATCGATTCTGGCAACGAATCCCGTCAGGTACAATGGCTGCTGGTGATATCCTTTTTTTTTTTACATGGACATATATCAAACCTTCCCTCTAGATTTTTTTTCTCCAAAATTTAACAGAGTTATTGGTGTACCTGACAAAGGAAAAAAAATGTTCGCAATACTCGAATGAAGTAAGAGAAATCGTTCGATTCGTTCGCGTCGTGCGTTCTTTACCAGTGCCCGAGTTTTCTGTACGATTGCGTAAGAATTTATTTGTGGGGGCAGACAGGGGGAAGCCCTCCTAAAGGACAATGGATGAAGACTCGATGCGATGCACGTGTTGTCGAAACGTCTTTCAGCAGAGGTTGGGCAAAAAGGTGAACGAATTCAATATGGATCTAGACAAGGCATAAAACCAGCGAGAGGCATATGAGTAAGAGAAAGAGAAAAGGAGAGAGTGAGAGCAGCTAGGGACAGTTCGGGGAGTAAATTCAGTTCGTAAAATTCGACCGGCCATAAACCTCTCGGATATATCCCATAAAATTCGTAGCGCGTTTTTCCAAGATGTTATGACGCCGCGAACCGTGAGGACTGTGGAATATTTTTTCTGTATCAAATAGGGACGTTAAGGAGTGCTCGAAGACACTCTCGTATCTTTCCAACATTTTTATCTTTTTTTATTAGCCTTCGGCCACTTTCCGTTGTCTTGACTAAGACAGTAAGAACGCAAGGCTTTGAGGAACTTTGTTCAGGGGATGACTTCAAGTAAAATAGTGTAAACCCATGACGCACAAGCGAGTGGGGAAGAGAAGAAGTGAAAGAGAGAGAGAGAGAGAGAGAGTAAACGTAGCGTGAGGTCGGTAGTTACAGAATGGCCGTAATCCGCGTAACGCCTGGTTCAACCATCCAGCAGCTTCTCTTAACACCTTTCATCCCTTGGAAACTTGATATCTCAAGGTCGCCTCAAATCATCCCACAGCATCCCTTCTTACTGTTCTCTCTCTCTCTCTCTCTCTCTCTCTCTCTTTATGCTACATAATCCCGTATCCTTGTCTCTTTCTCCTTCACAGCCTTCCGGCTCTATCTCTCGGATACCCTCGAACCATCAGTTTCGGTACTCGCTTGCGGTTCGCCGCAGCTTCCAGAAGATACGACCTCGGGAGAAGACTCAGCCCTCATCAAATTAGGATACTCGTCATTATTATCCGTGGCAGTTTTGACAGTTGCTCCAGAGATGAATTTAAAATTAGAAAGAGTATTAAAATTGTGTCCGCGTTTACAACCGGATAGGATGAGGATCAATTTGAAAAATCAGTAGATATTTTGACTCGGTAGAGGTTTTACCACTTTTTTTTTTCTTATCTCATAAAAAAAACACTCTCAAAGAAAATTATTTATCTTCGCTTCTGGAATTAATCGAATTTATGTAAACTACCCTTGTATTAATTATACATTAAAAAAAAGACTACGGATTCCATGAATTTATCATAAATATTCGAATTCCTTGGAGCGAATCCTACAGATATTCATCCCTATTATACGAGAGGTACCCCATCTATGGAAAGTACTAGAGGGTGAATTGTCAGTGACTTGCAGCTATACTGATTGAAGGGGAAAAAAAAACTATCATTATAAAACTATGCGACGCGTCGTTAAATACGCGGCTTCTTGTTCTACGTTTTTCATCCCTTAAAATTCCCAGAGAGACCTAGAAAACAACCAAGATCCTTTACACCAATGGTGTTTTTCGCAAGAAGATACAAAGGGTCTATAAAGAAAAGCCCTCAAGGAACAAAAGAAAGGGGGCGTGAAATGATCCCCGTTCACCGAATCTCGCCCGTAGACCCTAGGGAATTCTTCAGCCATACGGCCACTGCATACATACAGAACGATTCGTGCGACCCAACGTCGCCTTTGAAAATTCCAAGGTGACGTCACGTTGCGTCATCAACCCACACGGACTCAACCACACTCTTATGAGAGGAATACGGTAAAGGATAAAATTCTTGAAACTTCGTCGGCAACTGAACGAGACTTCCTCAAATTCCTAAAGCGGACAAATGAATTCGTTGGAGAATTTTTTCAAAAAATTTATTAAAAAAAAATTACCATCAGACTTTTTCATGCACGTTGATTCGTATAAAAATTTGAAATTAATACAATTACGGACACGTGCCAGTTAGATTACGCAAGGCAGATACGTAAATTCCCATATTTTTGTAATACTTGAACCGCGGGTAACGAGCGGAAGGGATGATGAGATTGTTAAAGGCCGAATAGGGTAAACGGATGGCAGGTCGAGGGCGAAGAGGAGTTCAGGGCTGACCATAGTAACCACCGCAACCCTTGTCATATTGGCAGTTGCTTTATAACCGTTTTGCATGGCCAGTAGACAATCCTTACTCGGCACGAATTCAATCATCTGGTTTACGGTTACCGATCGCATTTGACATTGCTGTTTCCGGTCCAAGTGCGGGCTGGCCAATCGTTGTCGAGTGTTCGTCAAGCGTTTTTAACGTTTACTGGATTTGCTGTAAAAAAAAAAAATTAACAATTTTTTACTAAACAAGATGCACCTTATCAGCAGGACAAATTATCTTTATGACGGATGAGTATCAGGTGCATGATCAAATATGTGAGATTAGCCCACAGGTAATGCAGTTTTGAGCTATTTGTGCATTATCGAAAAAAATTGCATTACTTATGGCATGACCCGGCGGTATGCAAGAACAGGTAACAATTTGCGTAACGGCATGAGGCATATTTGCCATTTGTCAATGTTTTGATGCTAGATAACCTGGTGAATGGAGATAAATAATTGTCCTGTATGCATATGGTTTTTTTTTCTGATTTGCCATTAACTTATCAGATTGGCAAATTGCGTACAGAGATCAATGACGTGGGAGAGAGTGATTGTACATACATAGGGAATAGTAAAGAGAAAGAGAATGTTTGAGCTTCGTAGGAAGCATTTGTTTGGGTTATGTACGATTAACGAGATCTTCCGTATTTGCTTTCAGTACGTGTCGGGAATGGGAACGGGAGGGCAGGCGAGCAGCGTGAGTTACAGCAGCGTGAGTCAGAGCAGCGATGGCGGAATCTGTGTGACCGGAACCGGCGGACCCTCTTCTGGGGGGATGTGACGTCACGCAGGGGCCCGTAGCGGGCCGCGCAGAGACCGTGCCATTCGTTTCCGGGACACGTGATTGTAGGCCACAAGTGTCAAGAGTACCGGAAGCAGCATCATCGCCATTGCCGATGCCAATTCAAATGCCAGTTGCGACTACTGCGGCTGCAGCAACAGGCGACCGACTGTGATAGTCGAGATTCAGATTGAGATCCGCACCAGTGTCCTGGACCCGTCGTCGGATTAATCCTCCTGGGACGAGGACAGTCGCTTAAGAAGCCATCCGAACCGGAAATAGAAAACCAGGCTGGACGCCGGCGTCGCGACGATCGATTTCATGCGGCCATATCACGCGCATAATTTATTCGACGCTCGGGATTACCCGGACGGCCAGGATGATGCTTTTTATTTTTTATCATTACAAGCCCACTCGGAGGGGATGGAGCAAATGAAATCCGGGCTGCCCGTGCAATTCGAATTGTTTTGTGACAAGATTAATTAGACGTGGGGAGGGTCGACAACTGGGTATTAAACAAATTATCGCAATTGAGCAATCGTGAAATCGAACCACCCCCCTGACTGATTGTCGCTTTATAAATCAAGAGAATCGGGGGTGTAGATGTATAAAACATTGACGATCCTCGTTCGGTAGAAGCAGTCGGGTATACCCGGGTCAGAGGGTAAAACCATGAATGATTAAATAAATTGAGCGAGACGCAATCCTATGGGATAGGTCTTGACTGTTGTAGTCTCTGATTCGCAACCCTCTCCTACATACCATTGATAGGTCATCGTCAGGTGCATATAGACGCAGGCCAGGTAGTCATCTTGTTCTCCATTAAACTAGGAAACAAATAAACAGCATGCAGCAGGACTCTGGACCATTAATTAACATGGAGCTGCTAACGCACTGCAGTCTGTATTTTCCAAACAAATATTTATCATAAATTTGAATCAGAAATGGGACACGAACGGTTGCAGCCAGTTGTGCAGTGGAGTAGAATTTCGCATACATTTTGTTTTTTCAAAATAAATATATACCAAAATACACAAATTGCACGGAACTAAAATTCTAGGTTGAGCACCGAGTGCTGTTCAGGATTTTGTTACCATATGTCAAGCAGGAAAATCCAAATTCAAGCGAACGGCAACAAGGGCAACACGAAAGCGTACGTAGAGGTTGTAGATAAATTAGCATAAGCAGCTAAATATAACTTTAATAAGAGCCTGATATCGCTTGAATTTAAATGAAGAACTTGGGTCGCTCGTTCTGACAATTTCAACGAAGCCCTTGACTAATTCAAGGCAGCCTTATGAAAAATTTAATACTATCAGCTACATTCAAAATAACTTTTGCCCATGTGTCGTTGCATGTCGTCGGTTCCATCTCTGGTCTGCCAAAAGCTCAACCTTCCCACTCTGGTCCCGCTTTTACCTTTTTTTTTTTTTTACATTTCTAATGGGAGCCTGCTACCGAACACCAGAAGCAACTTGCTGCGGAGCGGTGAACTTTGAAACTCCCTGTATACATAGAACACATAGCTACAGACTCGGCTGGCATATAAAAACTTTTTTGAAAAAGCATATATATGTGTGAAAACCTACCGTATCCAGTCAAAAATATTTCGGGGCTTCATCTTCAAGCATCCTCGTACAGGTATCGTGCGTACTTCAGGATTAGTGAACTTTGATCCCACATTGACCAACCACAAGAATACTTAATCTCGTCAGAAAAAAGCAAGATATTCTTATCTCAGTCATTGTACTCCTCGTACCTGTCATTAACTGATAACAAAATTCGAATTACTATGTCGTGGACAAGGAGAACAGACACGACAATGCGTCATCTAGTCAAAAGAAAAAAAAAATGTCAAAAATTATTCTGACTGATCACAAGTAAGGAAATAGTACGTTATCAGGATTATCATGCACTCACCAATTCGTTTCTTGTTTAATGAGATAAAATGCTGAAATGAGGAAGGGATGATTGGTCAATCGGCTGAGCGTCAATTCACTGTAAATAATAACAGGCGCCATTTGGATATAATGTAAATTTTAATTAGCTCAAAGAACAGAGTGATTTTTAAATTTTAAGGTTAAAGGACGCTGCTAGGGTCAATTTTTAATCGTATCTACGCTCGACGTACTCGTCCCTGCAATTATGCATTTATGCGACTGTGTAACTGCACGAGTATGCAAGCATTTGGTGAAGTAAATACGAGAGACTGTCATTACTTGTTGATACTAACTGATATGAGAAGTAAGATTGGCACGGGATACTAGAAATCGTTAGGATTTATTCCTATTGTATACACGAGTGTCGTTAGGTCTTGCGCAATTTGTCGTAAAACTATTCGACGAGGAATCCAGCGACAAGAAATGAAAATGCAATGCAGTTACGAAGGAACAATCGGTGGTAATATATTTGGTGCGAAAGAAGAAAAGGTAGAAATAAGAGAATTACGTGGGGTTTCGCAAGTGTATATACACTATACATAAATATACATAATATAAAATTATAACGACGTGTCGAGAACGGGGAATAAAGGAGAGAACAATCGATAGGACGTCACTTTCTATAAGCGATTAGAATAAGGTTAATTAAGGGTTAATCGAAAAAGATCCAAAGTATCGTAACTCACGTACAAGATGTAAGATCACTTAAGTACCTCCAACAAGATGTGTCTCTCGGTATGCTGTCCTTTATAATAAATATATCGAGAAATTATTATCCCGATTGTCCTGAGCTTCTTATTATTGCCATTGAATCCTCTGGAAGATCAAGTCTCATCTGTTAACTTCAACCAAGGTCAGGTAAATGGAACGCGACAAGGGAAGGTCTGAAAAGGTTCTCCCACGAGTACCATTTTAGATCCAGTAAGTATGCATGCAGGGCGTACGTGGTGAACCAGTTATGTTGATAGGTTGGAGAATCAGTACTTACGAGGGATGCATGGTTGCCAATTTTGGGTCCAAATGCTCAGGTATGTGAAATAAGGAAGCTTCTTTGAACAAGAGAAAATTACTTGGTATTTTCAAACGTTTTTCTTTCCCTCGATGTCAAAGAGTGGAACTGACGTAATCATTTTCAAATTAATAAACACTGCGTAATATAGTTGCTCACTTGACTCTGTATTGTGATATTTATGGCGGCAAGTACAGATCTGGCATCGCCGCCATCTTGGTCATTGTAAATGAAACAGTGAAATCACGAGATTGAAGGAACTATAATAATTGTCACCTGATTAATTTAACACAGACGGTACGATAAGAATAACTTCTTTCATTGTCATTATATTTTACAATAATCGTTATCGTGGTCGAAGAACAATGGCGCGCCATATGAGATTTTCGAACCTTTCACTTTCCACAACACAGAATAGTCAACTGTCTTAGGCAACTATTAGACAATAGCTTAAACATACGAGATACACGCCTCTACGAACACATTCGTAATTCTCGGGGCCAGCCCCGAGAATGGCCTATTGGTATTTTGAATATTTTCAAAATTCAGCCACTCGGAAGCAATAGACTTGTCGATTGCTTCACGCATCTAAAAGGGAATGAGCTACGATTACAGACGCATTCGCATTACGGCGACATGGTGACTAGTAGCGAACTACATATTTAGAAACAACAGCGATTCAATCTCGTGAAAAGCAATATACATTGCATCGAGCATGAGGGTATCCCTGATAATGGAGATTTTACAAGTTTGCAAGAATCTCTTATTAAATTTTCTAATAATAGTATTGTAACGCACGTCCTATCACCCTGCATATTTTTATTAACTTCCTTTACTTTATGCATTCTTCGAGACACGTAAAAATTAATGTTAATTATATAAAATGCACTTTTATTGTGTGTAATATATGCCCGGACATTAATTTATGTAATTGCACTTAATCTCTAAAGAACAATGAAATGTTGCCGCCTTTATACAATATGTATAACAGGTCCTTCCATCAAATCTGATTAAGCTACTTAACATTGCACCGCTATGTTTTTGCACTTTTAAGTACAATACTCGCACTGCTACGTTTTTGCTAAAATTCTCTACTAAACAGTTAGACGGCTCATTTCCGCTTTCCAGCGTCGTTAGTGTCGACACTGACATCTTTATTAACGTGAGTCGATTTAACTCGAGTCCGTTGAAGTTCATTAGAAAAATTTAACTAGTCGCCATTTATATACACGAAAGGATGTCCAATCATCGTCGATACACTATGTACAGTTATCCTTCGAAGATTGTGTCATTCGGTAAGATCATTTAAAACCGAAGGAGAAAAGTTAAAAGAATTAAAATCTATTTTCGTTCACCACCTGACGTAGCTCTTATACTCCTCGGTGATACTGACTCTTTTGATAGTCTCATAACCGAGAATAATGGAGAAACTGAAGCAGGCGGATTGCACGAGTCGCGCTGAGAGTCCTTTGGTAAACATTTCAAGTCCTTCCTCGACCCAGAGAACTTTGAATGCATTGCACATGCTGTCCAACCTTTGAACTTGCAATCTGGCGCGCACTATGTCTAGCGGGTTCGTTATGATAGTAGTGGTAAATCCTCCCAGGGTACCAGCCACGGCTTGGACGAATAGATGAGACACCCAGTATGGCAGTATCTTTATCAGTTCGTCTGTTAACAAATTGATGGGACGCTTGTATATTTGCTTTAGGTCTCAGCTAACACTATCCAATCATAGTACACTTTGTTTACCTTGATACACCGTGTAGAGTCCCCACCAAAGAGCACTGTTGGGTACGTATGCGCAGAGGGACGCAACGTAACCGCGATAGAAACCGCGCAGTCCGTCTCTCTGATAAATGAGTCTTACGATTTCGGCGGAGATGTAGGCACGCGATCTTCCTGGCTCTAGGGTTAATCCCAGAGGATTCATTCCCATCTGTAAGCAATGGTGAACAGGATATTGTTAGGATACTTCAGAACTGTTAACAGGATGAAGTATCTGTTCGGTATCGTTTGGCACTACTGTATTGACCTTGTCTACGACGAGTTTTCCGTGCTTGGTACTGACTCCTAGAACCATTAGGTGTTGGCTGAGAACATCAAAAGGGACTACTATGGTCTGGCCGACGAGGCTGGCTGCTGCGCCGCCGATCAAGGCTTTTATTCGAGGATCAATCTGGCTTGTAACGGGATTTTGTCGCAGCAGATGACGCACACCTTCGTACGTTGACACGTAGAAGACTCCGGATACTATTTGAATCGAACTTATCCAAAAACCTCGGTAAAGGCCGCCGAAGCCTTCCATTTGATAGATTTTTTTGTATGCATCTAGCATTCCTGTGATAGCAGAAGTCATTGGATATAAAATTTATTGTACGATGTTTGGATGTTATTAAACTGGGATAACTGTACCTGTATACATGTGATTTCGCCTTTGAATCTGCAAACGTGTCTTGATGACGGTCAATGGATAGAGACAGCATCGGACTGAGAATGAGGAAAGCATGCTCAGGGGGAAGAATTTGGTCTTGTCCATCATGTCCCATTCGATAGTACGAATGAATGGTGGTGCCTCGACCGCAGACATCTTCTGGCCTTAGAAGTATAATTGATGTGTTTATCTGAGACACGACAGTTCTGTCATCTAGTCCTTGAAAACGTTTGTCCAGCCTAATTTGGCACATCTCACAAATGCTTGCTGGGCATTACTACCCACGACTTTCCTGTAATTGCAAATCATATACTCTTATTTCTATTACAATTCTCAGACAGTAGTGACTGCCATTTCTGTCATACTAGTTGAATATGCATTAGAGAACTATTAAAAGTAGTTTACATTAATAGGTTCAAGATACAAAACAAGCTAATAATATTCCAATAGTAAACACTTCAATACAAAAGTTATCTTGGTGCAAGTGCATAAGAGACATGTTAGAATATTAGTCTAACATACATTATGTATTCGATTCAGGAACTTAATAATAGATCAAGTGTAGCTCAAGTTCAGTATACTACGCAATACTGGCACGAAACCCAAATAAAATAAATAAATTAAATCAGTCGGCTTAACTAACAAACAAAAAAAAACAGTTAATCCTGTCAAGAGATCTGAAGCACATTAGAAAATCATGTGAAATTCAAGGAAATGTATGAAAGCTCCAGATTCAATATAATAAAACTAAATTCTCTACAGCACCCATGTTTGCAGGTTGATTCAGCAACGAGGCAAAGACGTTAAGAGAGCGAATAATTGTTCTCAAATGATGATATATAAGAGCCACGATACTCACAGTGATGTAACACAATGCCGCAATACAACGATGAATATCTTCCAGCGGGTATGAAGTCAGTATTGACCTTTAAATTTTATACGACAGTCTGTCACTTAGATCATATTTATACTTGCACTTGGAGGATTATTGTACAAATATTAATTTCGGTATCTTACTCGGTTCCTTTATCCAGCAGCATACCTTTTTCTTCCGCGAACAAAATCACGAGACAGCAGAATTCATGGACGTTTATCAGCTGGACGTTTTTTTTTCAGTAGTTACACATGCGTATCTCTCCTAAATCATGCGGACGCAGGCGTCACGATGCTCCTGACATCTAGCGGATGTTACTACAAGTTCAGTAAACTTAAAATGCGATAATTACTAGATAAGAGTAAGTGAACGTACCTTACCTTATCAGTGACTGATTCGATATCAGAATTCGCCAATGCGTTGGCTGAATAGAAAAAAAAAACAGAGTATACATCCCTATGTAATGTGTGCCGCGCGTTTTTGATACGTAGAATAAACCCTTCCTTCCGTTCCATATGACTGTCTCCTCCGATGAGGAGATGTGCCAGTAATTAGTATAATTAAATCAAAATTCAGAAGTGCACACAAGTCAGCGATGTACCTCGCGTAACAGATCTTATCTAGATAATGTGAAGACCTACGGATGAGCTTTGCAACAATTGAATCTAGTTCATCAGGTTAACGAAGTAATACCTTTAACGGCTCATAGGTGGCAGCACACTCGCCAACACTTTGGCGATAACTTAAGTAAGCCAATTGTACCGACCGATGTTACACGCCTCGTGTTACAGCATGTGGCGCTAAAGTCATCCCATCTAGGTTTCTGTTTTTTCTAGTTTAAATTTGAATCACTGACAGTATGCGTCGCGAAATAAAAAGTGTTCAGTAAATTCTGGAAATTGCTGACTATCAATCTTAACGTTGCAGAACATCGCAGAAACGTGGCTCCCATAAGGTGTTGTCATTCTTGTGCGACATCGAACAATCACGAATGGTTAGTGTATTTAACTTGGCTCGACGTGTGTTGCCATTGGTTAACAGCCTTGATGCATAGATGACGCCATTGCTGCCGTCTATTCGAACCGTCTAGCACTGTGCAGAGACGAGAGTACGGTGGCGATTTAATATGACTGCTTCGGATAGTAGCGACAAATTGGCAACGTTTTTTTTTATTATTTAAGACAAGTATGAGAATTTCTGAAATAATAATGATTAAATCCTTCGTAATCTGTTCGTGTGCATGCTGATTATTTGCGGAAGCCATCTTTAATACGTCTTTTTGGCATGTGCAACAACAACGTAGTTTCTCAGTGATGACTTTGTGGTAAATGCTTTGGAAAGGATACGATGTAAGACTATTTTATGGAGGACAGAAGATATGAATAAAGGATTGAACGGTAGATTTTGAAAAATGTGGGCCGTGCGTTGTTGGAATTTCAATAGAAATGCCGTGGAACGTTGCGAGTGTGAAAAAGAGGGGAGCCGAAGGAAGGTATCTAGAACGTAGAAGTAAGAAAAATGGAGAAATAAAAGTGAGGAAAAAAAGTAGAGTTTAAAAGTGAAGAAAAGAGAAACCAGGAGAATTCACTGCGGAGCAAAAGCGTGGAAACACGTCGTATTCGAAGGGTGAAAAGAATGTGCGCCCAATGAATTCGAGCTCCGCCCCTGTCGAGGGTTGGCAGCAACCCCTAAGCGCGCACTTCGCCCGCGATCATCGTGAGGATCCTGCGGGGGTGTTTTCGACGTCACGCGATGGGCGGATACCATCCAGAGACACAACCCCCTTATCGCGAGCGTAGCACCCTAGAACCAGCCGAGGGTGTCTTTCCCTTAGCCTGATCAAATCACTCGGGCCAGTAGTATCTTTGATCGCAAACTGTCACAACAAAACGTTACGTCGCGCGCGAGTTTTGGTTTCAATTTCAGTGGGATGTCCCAGTGTTCTCGGTTCGAATCGGTTATCGATTTTACCCGATCGCCGATCGATCAGGTGTGAAACTAGTGACGAAGGACGACCAAGGAACACAATCGGATAAGGAGATAAGCAAGAGAAAAGAAGAAGTAACCAAGTGATTTTTCAAGGTGATGATGAATCTACCCGATCAGGAGGTACCTGCCGTCACTGCAGATTTGGCCAGAATGGTGAGTTTATAAATTTAAAAAAATATTTGTTATCACTGAACCCTAATACCTATCATCGATATCATTCCACGTAGCCACCAGGTGTCGAGTCATTTGTACGTCCAACTTTTAGAACGTCTCTCTCCGTGTTACGAGCACCAAAAGATATGCATAGTTTTCTGGGAACTCACGTGGAACAAGGAGTAAGAGCTACTCGACCTGGACAATGGAGTCGTAATAGAATAATGTCGACATAATATACTGCGGAACGATGATCTTGGACTAGTGAATTGTCAGGGCACGCGCCTCCACGCTTCGGCTGATGCATCCCACGGGTGCCACCCCTTTAGTGTCCTCTAAACACGTAATTGTCACCCCGTAGCATCCCCACGTAAGGGAGTCAAGCACCGGGGGAGATCCATGAGGGATGTTGGTACCTACAGTGGATACGTATACGTAGACCGGAACAGTGGGTGGGCAGGGTGCCGATTCGGTGCCACGCGCACCAACCAGTAGGGGATGATGGTTGTCTGCCTGCCTGCGGAAACACTTGATTTATGTTTGTCGATTCTAAAAATCACTCGATTCCCACACTGGTGGGCGAATGCCAAGCGCCACTTAATTGACTCTTATGCTACAGGGACACAGGAGCATATGTTGCCACTCGAGGTTCCCATGATTAGTTAGGAAGGGGTCCGATTGTACGAGATGCCTGACTCTTCGAAAGTTTAATCGACCCAATTTCCCTGGCTCTGGATCGACGGTCCCAGGCGTTCCACGTGGATATACCTAGTCCAAGAACCATTTGAGGTTCAGAGGGTGAAACCTGGTCTAGCAGGGTGTAGCGTCTGTAATACGAACCGGCGTGGCTACTGGCCTCGACTGACATGTTGCTGACAGCTAGACACACATGGTTTACGTAGGTGTGCTCGCACACCTTTATCAGACAACGCTAGCTTCGCCATGAAGTACATGACGGAGTCAGACTGTCCTTACAGCCAGCAGGGGGTGGCTGGTGTGTATTCAATTAATTATCAAATAATAGGACGTGTCTGCTTGCGTTACTCTCACTATTTTCCCCATGACCACATAGGTGCATACCAGCCCAGAACGTACGTTGCTGAAGATTAAAAAATTTGGAAGGTCTGCGAAGTAATTAAAATTTTCTAAAAAATCCTATGTTTCACAGGGAGAATGACATTGGCTGGAATGTCCAAGAAGATGGCCAATTAGATGACAGAGTTTCTAAGATGAGCATTGTTGAGCTTTTTGGCACTGGCTGTGATCTGTATTGTCCTCGCACCCCTAGACGTAACAAAGGAATAAGGATTTGGGGATGGAAAGGTTAAGAAAGCTGTACCACTGTAACATGCAGTTAATTAAGGAACTTTCCCAGAGTACACCGGTCCTGTGTTCAAGGTCGAAAAATTGAAACTGCTCAAACAATTCGTTCTGGGCTGCACGATGACTTTATCATAAACGGAACCGAAGTGCGCAATTATAAGGGTTGGCTAGAATGGACGAGGGGTCGTGCACCCCTCGCTACAGAAATGCGTTACGAGTGATGGGGCGTTCCTCGTGGGCACCCTAGAGTCATTTTTAGAATAGGCACTGGATATATCCACACGATCGTATATGCGTGTTTACCTCTGTCTGTGGTAGCCAGTGAGAGAGACAGAAGAAGAAAGAGAGAGAGAGAGTGGAATACAGAGAGAGAATTGGTCCTGTGGGAAAAATCATGAGAGAGAGAGAGGAAAACGGAAGAGAGAGTCATTGTCAGTCAATTTACCTCGGCACGCGACCATGTTTGCCTCAGCCGCTTACGAGTCATTAGCTCGTTAATGTACTCGATTGACTTTTTCGCAGGCGTAAAGACGATTCGAAAAGAAAATTCTGAATAATCCATTTTGAGTTCTGCACTGGGTTTGGATGAGTTTTCATACTTTTTCCCGATGCCTAAATAATTACGTTGCTTCTCTGCAACCACGTAATTAGCAGTGAACGTTGCAGTTATTAATGATTCTGCGTAATTACTGAATGTAATCAAAATTAATTGGGACGGTACAGCTTTATAGGTTTAAAGGCTGAAGCAGACGGATATGAAAGCGGTCCAACGATTAATACCGAGTGACCATTAATAGCGATTAAGGGAGGATCTCCGGAGGACTTCCTCCATATACCTAGGATTTCAAGTAATCACCTATTGTAGACCTGGAAAGGAAAAAGGGAGTCAGTGAGTGAAGCGCAAGGATGGTGACGGAGGAGCCAGATACTCAGTGTGAATCCAAAGCTAATGTGTCTTCTGACTGAGAATTGAGGCTTCTGGCAACTTAGGGCCGGTAACCGGGTTTACCACAAGATTGCTCCGCGAGGAGGAAACCTTCCAATCGTTCGCCGGATGTCCTCCTTACCTTGGCTCTCCATCTAGTTTCCCCCCGGTTTGCTTCCAGTCTCTCTTCCCCTCTTGTCCTGGCATCTTGGCTCGGGATCTCCGCCTCCTTCTCTCTTTTCGATAATTCCCTCGCAATAACTCGGCAGGGACTCACTCCTCGCTCTTGGAATGATTTCAGAACGGTGAAGCTTTCAGCAGACTGACGGAGCCGGTTCAGAGCATCGCCGGGACTGCCTACTGTGCGAGCTACGTGTCCCAGACATCCAGCAACCCCGACAAAACCCATGGTAAGAATCGACAAATTACTTTCCTCTCCCTCCCCATCTCTCTCTCTCTCCGCCCTCTATTTTTATCTGTCTCACTTGCCTTCTCTAACCTGTACGCTTCTTACTAGACTTACACGTCAAGTCGAGGTAGGTCATTGGATCCTGGTCCCCCGTTCATCAGCAGTGAATTTTGACGGCGAAATTATAAGGAAAAAGCATTGCGGAACGGCACGAGTCACAGACGTCCCCTTACCAGTGTCTTTTGCTTTGAAGCGCTTTGATGGAACTCGAGGACACAGGATATGACGTACACGCACCATGCCACCGATACACCCTTGGAAGAATATACACTTACAGGAGAAAGCACGTGGAAGGCTGAAGAACTGATAGAATGAGTGAGTGAGGTTGAGGAAGAGAGAGTAAGAGGAACCTTCTCCGAGCAACCTGTCACCAGCACGCCATCGACTCGATATCTTTATAACGTCGCATCATCAGCCACCAACAATATTATTTTCCCAGAATCCTTGAGAGTTCGGTAAACTCCAAAAAGTCTCTTTGAAATAAAAAGTCGATTCAGGATAACTACTGGCAGATGAGGAGGACGACAGGAAGTCAAGGATGCTTTGAGGATGGAAAAGAATTTTTATCATGGTCATTCAAGAGACCTGACGTTCATTTTGGAAACCTTGACCTAGATACCTTGTGGGATTGAGCAAAGTGTAAGAGCTTCCTTTGGAAAAATTCAATAGCTGAGAAATTATACTGGAAAAGACTCCCCTGCGTCGCAAGGGTCCAGGAATACGCGGTGCTGCGCTGCTTTTCCAGTGATTGACACTTTATATCTAGTATTGAAATGCTGCGGTGTGAACTGTCACGCTCTATCCACTTTCTCTCTCTTTCTCGTTACTTCTACTTCTCTTCCTGCATCTCAACCTCCCCCCGAGGCCACCCTAACTCAATCAGCGCCTATAATGCCGCAATTTCTCTATCGTAATCGCGTTACGCCCTCTCGCCACGCAGTTCCTCGACGTTCTGAAATACTTTAAGAAAAATATTGAAACGTCGTCTCCGTTATAAGAATCGAGCTGCTCACCATGTTGAGTCAAGCCAGGGTAGTCCTGTAGAAGGTATGCTGAACTAAATCATTTAAAGAGTGATACCGTAGACAGTCGAGTCTGCTTATCATCGCCCAGAGGAATCCTAGATGGAGCATAGTAGAGGAAGAATTGTCTTGAGCCAATGAAATTAATGAGAGCAACAGAAAGGATAACCAAGAAGTGCACGACTATTCGTAATCAATGAGCTGTAATGTAAGTAGGAATTCAGTAGTGGACATAGAGTCGTCTCCGAACAAAACGAGATTAGAGACGAGTGGCTACCCGTGGCGAATCGTGTCATCCAGTCCCATTAATGGGACTTGGATAGGACTGGAACTGGATGACGCCCCACGCTGTGCTACGGTGGTGTGGACTCCCTTTTACCATTGATTCATTCGAATCACTCGATTCATCCTTTGGTGCTACTGTAGCACTAAGATCTTTCTATCGCCCCGATCATTCAGTCGGAATGGTTTTCCTTGAAGTAAAACTTCCTCATGACTGCACCTATCTCATATCTGTCTTTATCTTTATTCCAGGAGGAAGTGAACTCTACCCGACCCAGGAGTACAGGCAGGAACCATGGCTGCAGGATGGTAAGTTACAGGTCATATTGAATTATAATTTTTTTTTCTTTCATTTTCAGTGACGTCACTGTCGGTTAAGAAGGTATTCTTTGCCTCTACTTCTATAAGGCCCGGATAGCTCAGTCGGTAGAGCATCAGACTTTTAATCTGAGGGTCCAGGGTTCAAGTCCCTGTTCGGGCGTTTATTTTTTTTCGCTCTACTATCCCTGAACAAATACTAGAAGGTGCAGGGAATATCCAGGACACTGTCAGGATTCAGATCCTGCGGAAGCGAAGGATCAAAGAGTGCCTGTTCTCTTTTTTTCTCATCGATACAAGAACAAAGAATTTACTTTAGCCGCATACTATGTTGAATGAACACGATCTAGTTCTTTTTTCAAGGCACGATTATCGATCATCCATCGGCTTTGCGATTTTCAAGAGAAACTCCTGTCGCTGTAATTGATTAAAGGCATGAAAAGACGAGCGACCAACTGAACAATCGCGCCAGCTCGTCCAGCCACCTTTCGTCCGGCTAATATCGCATAATGCCTTATTGGCTTTCAGCTAATGGCTACACACTCAAAGAACGTGTACAAGGAACAGTCAACATGAAGCCGGAACGTTGTTTCCCTCGATCGGCAAATTCCGCCGAATCACGACAGCGCAAACGATCGGCTCCGAACAAAAGTCTGACCGAGTCTTAGACAAGAATGAAGAGTTCGGCCTCCGAGAGTCTCTGTAATTTCGAAAGCGATGGCTTTCCGCAATCGAGCTCATGCGAGCAGTCCATTAGTATGATTAGGCCAACTTGCTACAATCAGTACGACCCGCCACGTAACGTGTGAACTGAGGTCTCACCTTGATCCACGTAATTCACAAGGATTTCTTTTCCTTGGCTTTTTTCATTTCTGAACTGGCGACTTCTAGGGACATTGTGAGCATGGCCTGGCTCGTGAGAGGTCAATCGAACGACGTGCTGATGGTGTTGACCCACTGATGATTTTTCATGATCAAAGAAAAGAGCCTAAAGAAAGCTTCTGGGTGCCAGCCTAATTGAAAGGGAATCAGGAACAGGAGGATCGTCCAGGAAGATTTGACGTTCAGGGTTGAAAGTTCATTCTGGCTACAGCGAGGATCGATTAGCGAGGGTTAACTCTCGTCGCATTAATTTTAATTATTCCAGCTAACTGTAGATATAATACGCGATGGATAATACATATAATAGGGGTCGAGGGGGCGCGTCGGGGAGTACGGGGGGTTTAAAACGTGACGGGTATTTGGCCCTCGAGCTTCACCCCTCAGGAACGAGGAACTATAATCTACCCTGACCTCTCTTGCAATCACGTTAATGCGTACGCGTGCACCTACGGTGCATCTAATTGACTCCAGCGTGAATTGAGAATCTATAACTTATCTTTCCAAGAAACAACTGTACGATAACGTGGCACTTATATTCCCACGAATTGTTTCAGGCAGCAGCTGCGAGACCGAGGACAGCGAGCAGTACGTGCCGGAGTTCCATCATCATCATCATCATCACATATCAAGTGAGCTCATACTCATTAGTATTTCTACATCAAAACTCTAATATGCAAGCTCAGACTTTTCTCTGTGATAACCTTACGTTCTTCTATGTAGATGACACTGGCTGACACTGCAGTGACACTTTAGCTGAATCTTATCACAGTCGTAATTCCTCTCGTCTTATTACACCATCAGCCAATTGGAACCAAGCTAATCTTCAAGCTAATAGATATTTGACGAAAATCTTAAAGCTGGTGACGTTTACGGCATCCGGCGGCTCCGACTGCTTTGCATTTAGGATGCGACCCAACACAATTTCGCCGCATCCGGAAACAAGGTTCCCGGTTTCCCATTTGCAACAAATCGAAGCACTCTCTTTCTCTGTCTCTCTCGAATCTCTGCTGTGTGGAAGCACAAGGATTCTCGGTGTATCTGTCTGGACCTGGAAGATGGATTGATAGCTAGTCTACCAGGTGGAAGGACGAAGGTAGTTGGTACGGGGTATGAAGTAGGGTGGGAGCTGGATAAGGATCAGCCTTAAGAAACGGACGGTTGCTTCTTTTTTTATTCTCTTGAGAAAGTCGATAAAGGAGATCAGGAGGATAAGAGACCTTAGCCACGCTACACGTGGCGGGTAGGAAAGGATCGACGAAGTTTTTATTATTAAAAATTAAGCCCTTGGGTGATTTTTTTTAACTTGCTCCAAAATCAACATGGCTCCCACTCTGGCCCTGTACGATCGTCGATAGCGGATTACGCAAGCAAGCACTTTATATTAAACCAAGAGATTTTTTCTTTGCATTTATTAGAATCCACTCTCCTGCTCTCTCTTGGATACATACGAACCCTCTCTATCTGTCTACCCTACTCCCTATCTCAGTCCTAGTTAAACAGTTACCCCTCCGGTATTTTGATACTTGAATATGAATTTATCGCTTCATCTTAGTATACTTTTTCAATAGTACCTAAACACCTCAAATTCGAATCACAGGATTAAAATGGATTTCACGAACGATCTAGAACATTTGTATGTCCCTTTTTAGAATTTTAATTAAATATCCCCATGTCGAGGTCTGGAAATTTTGGATATTCGATGGCTAAGTTGAAAAGTATGTGTACCTACCAAGAAACAGATAGACTGGGCAAGTAAACAGCCAAAGGGCGGTAGCCGACTAACAGACAGAAGGGTAGGGTACTTACCCCCTACATACGCGAACAATCATCCACCCTTGTACGAATACACAGCGGATACACCGAGGTTACTTGTATTCTGTATACACTGTACATTGTAGACATACAGGCACGTACGTCAAGAGTATATATACTCGCCATGTCGAACCTAAGTCGAGTCTCAAACAAATTGAACGTTCTGGCTAAACTGGCTTTTTCGCGCGTCAACCGCTAACGGCTACACGTATAACTTATGTACAGTGTTTGATACAGATATCACACGGACGCGCACCCCTTTATGTATTCTACATCCACCATACTCCACAGACCCTGGGCTATTCAGACTGGTTGGATATGATTAATCCTAACTGATATACACAGAGTTGATATTAGCTGATGTCTTGTTCTTTTATATTTTATAATTCTTCGTATGCTCTTATTTAATTGTGGGTTCTGGAGTGACAAAAATATTATATGAAAAGCTATAGTGGTCCTACACGTCGAATTTTGGATTATCAGCGAGCAATAATTGTGATGGCGCAACAGGGCCCACCAATGTTTACAAATAGAATGATTGCCCGGGGATGCGACTGCCGCTTCCCACGGCCGGAGTCTGTTTGATTTATTAACGGTGCCCCGTGACACCCCTTGGCAACCCTCTGCTACGTCAGTGGTTGGTGTCTCGTCCATCCCCTCTGTACCCCATTACACCCCCACGTGCCGCTGCAACGATGCGTCTCCGCTTCCGGTTGGGCACGCGACTTTTTACGTTCTGCCCTGAAACCTTTAGTTAGGGGGGTGAACGTGAATTCGTTAAGGAGTACCACCAACCTGGTCCGGGTCGTCTGGAGTCTTCTCCAGGTCATGGCGCGCAGCTAGTCATGACTGTTGGAATAGAAGATGAAGAACTTGACGTAGTATTGGTTATTCGCATTACTCTGTAAGGGCAGACTACTTTCACACACCCTGGACGCTCCAGGGGTTGGTTGGTCAGGAATTTTACTTGGGTCTAAATGTAATCCTAGTAATGGATTCGTCCTACCTGTTGTCCTGACTCCACCTTCCTTCGTACGTGGCGCATTTAAACTTACTGGTAATTCGTTGACATTTCTCTTTTTTTTCCAGACGGGGCTGTCAAGCAGGAGACCGCGAATTGCAGAAGGGCTGCCGAGCCTGGTTACCACCCCCAGTATCCAACCGCAGTGACGCATCCTCACACGCAGAGCAGCAACTACCTCGACCTCAGCCCTGCGACCCCTGCTGCTACCTACTTTGGGTAACTGTTGTAAAATTTCAAGAGAATTTCTAATGCCGCATAATCGTTGTAGGAATTTCCCTCGTTGCGTTGAGTATTAGTGTAGCTAACAAGCAGCTTTCTCATCCACAGAGGTAGCAGATTGAGTCCGCAAAGTAACGATGCGACCAAAGGCATAGCCGTCAAAGAGGAACCAGCCGATCGTGGCTACGTGGAACCCACGTCCGTCACCAGTCTGACTACTACTTCAGCATCTCAGGATCACGGTGAGTTTCTGGAACCAATATAAAATCAATCGTTGAACCGAGTTGACAGACAGGCCTGTAGGACTTATTCAAGCATACGGATAAACCCAAGCGAAGTCAGCTCGTCGATGGTCTTCATAATGTTCTGGATGATGAGGATGTCGGGAAGGGACGAGTCAAGTAGCAATGTCGTCCCCTGATTCCATGACAAATCAGCGCACAAAGGATCCACGTGGCTCTGTCCTACCCCGTAGAGCCATAAATAATCTCAGCACAAGGGATGCAGGGTACGCAGGAGGCCATTAATCGGAACTTGGACTCTCTTCCGGTCAATGCTAGAAAAATTATTTTTCTACCTAAGATCCGTGTCTTCTGGACTCTGTTATCACCCTTGTCAAAGCTCCTTCATTCAACTTTCTTTTTCTTCACCAGTTACACCAATAGATCAGGATCAGGATTCATAAAAGGGGCACTGGGGTGCAAATCAGACATCAGTATCTCGTGAATGCTTAAAACATACCGAGCCGGCCTTTCGTAGCTGCGTTCTGGCATCGTGGGCCACAGCTACCACCACGTAGTCTGGCCTGATTAATTAGTGAGACGCATTAACAAACCACCCTCCTGCCTTATTCCACGGACTGGGGTACTCCCGCACACTGGCGCAGCTCGGACGGACACGTACGCACCTGGTGGTCGTACGGACAGGGCTTTTCCACTCCTAGTCATTTGGATGATCCAGTACGAAGGTTGGAATGGAAATGAAAAAAATGCTGAAAAAAATACAGCAGTCGTTCGCGTCAACTCAATTATACATAGGCCAACGAAATGAACGAGCTCACGGGCCATTCGCAGCCTAAAAAAAGAGCCGAGTTGCTGGCTGCTGTCCCTGGAACATCCCCGCGACCCCTCTTGCTACACCATCGAACATCAGCGCCATCTACGAACTCTGTTGTTTGCGATTTGTTACGTTGAATTTTTCATGGGCTTTCAAGAATTTCTGTCCTTTGTTTTTTAATCGACATCCTCCGCCCCCATCCGCCCCGGGGGTGCGCGGACACTTGTTACGCGAGAGGACTGAGTCTCTCACTCTTCTCTGACGACCTTTACCGCCATTGGACAAGACACAGCAGGGAATTCGATGTGACGACTTTCGAGGATTTCTTTCTTTGCTGCCCACCCGTTCCAGTGTCTACGCAATGTGTATGCATGTACGGTACGGTCAATCATGGATTCTTCTTGGCCATCCCCTAACCAACCCCTTTGAAAGGACCGGATCTTGATGAGCATCTATCGTGTACTACCAAGAAATGGACTTTGAGATTTATCACGGGTCCGCATGATTATCACACAATCTCCATCAATCCCTCGCCACTTTTCTTTTATGGATGAATGCGATATATTCTTTGTTTCTTTTTTTTTTTGAGATGACGAGAACGCAGCCAGGACCTGAGATCAATTTTCAATTCTGTCTACGGAGATCCTCATCTTGATGCCCATCCTATACTTTTTCTGCTACAAGCAAGCTCAGCAGCTTCGTGCGACATTGCCGATTGAGATCATCATGTTTGAACAGCAGGAAATTTTATTATATCTTATATCCATATCTTATATCATGTTGACTTCCGCTGCTAGTAAATACTGGACGGAATTGCCTGAGGCTGTTCACTCTCCTTCGAATATCGGTCTGTATCCATAGACAAACGATATGAAGATTCTCCAAACGTCTTATACAAAATAGAAAATACGAACGATTATAAAAGGCTTTAAAAAATTATGTAAGCTAAGCCAAAGGGAATTGAGCATCGGGTCAAGACTCACGCGTGTCTAAGTACACGTAATTGAATAATTGAAGAATGCTTTCAACTGGCAAGCCAAGGCAGCTCCTAGAACCAGGAGGAAAAGCTCTCCACGTTCATCCACGAAGGAGAAGACTCAGGGTGGTTCTCCCCAGGGAATACAAGCCGAAAGCTCTTTTGTATCTTGTTGGAGAAAACGGAAACCCCTTTCGTCCCCCGTACCTCGGAACAGCAACAAAACGGAAGTAGTACGTACAAACGGTCAAAAGAAGAACTACAAGATATGTTGAAAACAGCAAAAGAAAACGGGAAAAAAATTATCAAAATGAAACGAAGGGAAGAAAGCAGCTAACACGTTTCCAAGGGGTGGTATCGGCTATCGTGATCGCATTACGTAATAGTCAAAGGCAGGAACACAAACTCAGACTCACCCCCTGAGTTAGTTAAGTAGCCAGGAAACTCCTAGGGGTTGTCTGCGCCGTGGGATGAGTTCTAAATGTTTTAAGCTTCTAATCGGAACGATTAGTAACTCCCTAAACATGCGTTCATTGTCGAACTCTGTTCTATATGTTTATACACAGACTTTTGTTTTCAATTTTTATCAGCGTCGCCATTTCTCTCTTGGCATTGGCTCTATGCGTATCATATAACGTAGGCACTCTTCAGAGTCGCTCGGGAATTACGCTCGCTCTCTTCGTTCTCGCTACCATTAAGCTGGATAAATAATTCACTTGTAGTTTGCGTTAGCGGATCCATAGCCGTCATAGCGACCGACGTCGGGTCGACCGAAGAACAAAAATCGGTAGGCCAATTGCGAACTTGCCCCAAGGCAGTATTTTGCGTGGATGAAAAATAAATCACGACGTGTAGCATATATCGAATGCATAGGCACAATAGTAAAATACTTTAATGTACTCTATAGTAGGTTCGAGTTAACTCGTTTACATAGCTCGTATACGTATCGATGACATGTGATGCCGTCACTAACATTGCTGTTCGAATAATAATACTCTCTTAATGAATACAAATTGGTCGAGCACGCTCCGCTAATTAATCTCCATGGATTTCATGGAGTTACTGAAAATTATATGGTGCATTGTGTCTCGCGGCTTTGTTCAGACGCGTCGTTCTGTTTGCGGTTAATTTTCCTTACTTGACGCGTTTCTAATAATAATTGTTTGCAATCTTGTAGACTCGATGTCTTAAAATTTTCTGTCTGTGAAAATATTTCTAATCTTTTTTTTTTTGCTTTTTCCCGGGAGACTGAAGAGATAGCCACAGAGCGCAGCTAGAGAGAGAGAGCGAGGTAGTTCGAGGATCAAGTCTGCATTATTTAACGGACAAAGCTGTGGAATCCGAGAGTCGGAGCGCGAGAGAGAAAGAGAGAGACAGATAGAGTACTCGTTAAGCTCGCAAGCTAAAAAGCCAACAGTCTGAACTACGAACTCGTCCGAGAGTGGACGCCGGTCGAACCGCCCTGTTTTGACCTCCGCCCCAGTCCCCATCTTTCACCCCGTTCTTACCCTCAGTATGCTTTTTGGCCTCGCTTGCTCCGCGGCAACGTCGGCGTCGGTTTCATCAACTCGCGATTAATTTTAATCTAAAACTACCCGCAAAGCATCCCCCGTTCGCGACCGAACCCGAAGCCAACCCCTTTCAGCCGCTTTTATGCCAGTGAAACACACAGATTGGCTTTGCCACCCCGTCACCCCCTATATTGGCCCTTTAAGCAGGCATCCTCTGGCGTCTCGAGGCGGGACGTTTTCCGTGACGACTAAGTAAAACAGAAACTATGACCTCAATAGAGGTTAAAGCCCATAAGGATAAATAATGGAAGTAAGTTACGACCTTAATTCTGTTTTAGCCCGAAGCGTCGTTAAGGAAATAACGTTGGTTTATAAAAGTATTAAAATTATCACTGACATGAGTGCAAGTGTAAATATATTTTTTTATAAAAAAAAAAAAAAAATGAAATAGTGACACAAAAAGTTGTAGGGTGAATCAGGAAAAGGGGTATGGATGTACGGATATCAGAATCCTAAGGGTATCTCAGTTTTTCAATATTCCCCTACGCGACTTGGAGTGTAACCGGATTACCAATGGAGAATGGCGTTTTTCGGCGTAAGGGGACAGGGGGTGGCTCCGGATTGCGGCCTCGCGAGAGGAACGTTCGATTAATATACATATCGCGAAGCTTTGCAGCGAGGGGGAAGGTAGACACGAGGCCAGGCGAAGCCACGAAGGCATCGCTGCCTGCGAACGCGACCAATCAGCCCTGTGGGCTTTGAATATCAACCAATTTCCTGCCGACATTTGTGTGACGAGCACTTCACTAGCTGGCGCGCGTGAGTTCAATCGCTAATACTTTTCCTTTCAGGGCTGCTTACGTCCCTTCGGCAGTGCTAGATACCTTCTGACTCGTACCGATACACACTTCCTCTTCTCTTTTTCTCTTTAGCTCTTGAACCCTGAAACAGCAGACCCCCCCCCCGGTGGAATTGTAAACCGGGCAGTTTAATAAGGTGGAAGATTAGGGGTGGCTCGCGGTACGCAATCTCAGATTAAAATAACGCCCTTGTCATGAGGTCGGTTCGCTGATGTAAAGAAGCTTAAAAGGGTTACTTCGGTAGACTGCCTTCTGAATAATGGACGACTAAATTTGCTATTCCAGGTCTGCCATCTTCTGCTGGGTTTAGAACCGGTAGAAAGTTGCTGATCGTTCATGCAATTTCATGTGTCCAGTTGAAGCGCAGCAATCATCTGGAGGAAGATAAAATTATTTTTATTTCTTATTTTGTACTGATATCTTTGCTTAATGCTTGTTACAGGGAACAATTTACTCTACCGTTCACAGCAGCAACAGTCGCAGCAAGCTCAGCAACCACCGTACGCCAATGGAAGTGGTACGCGAGAAACAAGATCTTCGCCAACGTCCAGTCGACCGACTAGTGCGTCTTCAGTGACGTCTCAGTGGCCTCCAGCACCCACGGCACCTACTGAGGCATACGTTCAACGTCAGGATACCTGGACGTCCGACGTCTATACGAAACGTAGTACCACTCCGACCTGGACGGAGCTGGGAACACCGTCGGATCCACGTGGAACATCCTGGGACCGACAGAGTACCTGCTACCAGAAGAGAAGCTCACCGACCTCCTGGAATTCTGAGTACGGAAAGAGGCCATCTTCTACGACAGGATCATCCTGGACTGATGTGGCTGTTGGTTATCAGCAGCAACGTCGAGGATCTCTTCAATTGTGGCAATTTTTAGTTGCGTTACTTGACGATCCTGCCAATTCTCCTTGTATTGCCTGGACCGGACGTGGGATGGAGTTCAAGTTGATCGAACCGGAAGAGGTATGTCCTGGATGATTGTGTAGCTTGGCAGATTTTTTAAATCTTTAATTTACGATTATCCTCAGGTGGCCAGACGATGGGGAGTCCAGAAGAACAGACCGGCCATGAATTATGATAAGCTCAGCCGCTCGCTGAGGTACTACTATGAAAAGGGAATAATGCAGAAGGTCGCAGGTGAAAGGTATGTTTACAAATTCGTCTGCGACCCTGAAGCTCTGTTCAATATGGCGTACGGTGCCGGAAGTTCCGGTATTCCTGGTGAGATGCAAAATGGTACGGCACGAGGACACTCGATTATTGGAAAGACGTCGTCTGGAGCAGAGGCTAGTGATCTTGGAAAGCATACTGCCAGTGGTTACGGGGATGCTGTTCTTGCTATGTACTCAAATACAGCTGCAGGTAAATCATATTTAATTTTCTTAAGAAATTATCACACTTTGTCTCTAAGCTAATAGTATTTAATTGCATCTAAGTCAGATACCATGTAGAATTTACACAGATTTCTTTTCAGTATATGGACCACCCAGTCTCCATCATCTTCACCAATACCTGGGTGGCAATGATGGATTCAAGACACCCTCTAGCAGATACCATTCTCACTATCCCCATCAGTACAGCAATAACCACCCTTCAGCGACATACACCGAGACATTCCTGAACTATGGTCGGCTCTCGGCTCACGAGCTTCCGCTAGATGTGAGAAGTCAAGAATCAGGGAACAGAAGCAGTTATCCACTGAATCCTGAAAGCTCATTAGGTATCCGGGAAAGCTCGAGTAACAATACCAGTAGTACCAACACGACAGCGACAACTACAAGAGTACGAGACTCGACGAGTGTCGACGCGCCGCGTGCTGAAGTATCGACAACATCCGCAAGCTCCCAAGCGCCTCTCATAGATAGCAGCACCGGCTCAAAAATTGAGCAGGCACCCTACCCTTGTCTAGGGGTCGGTAGCTGTGTCTGTTGAAGGTCATAGGTCTAGTTATCCTCAGGAAGCCTTGATCAAGATTCAGTAATACCTAATAGGAAAACTCAGGATTTCATTGAAGCTCTGATCGGGGTGACTAACTCTAGAGAAATTTGTTGTACATACGTGACACTTTTAAAGACACTCCTTCGTTCCTGGTTTCGCACCTCTGTGCACAGATGGCGCAGTTTATCTTATTCGCTGGCTGATCCAGCTGGATCTGATGCGAATGGCGATCGAATCAGACAGTTCTAGTCAAGTCGTCCAAGGTACCTATTCCCTTTGAATGTTGTTACCTTAAACTTTCACGAGATTAGTAAGTTACCATCAACACTGTAATTTATTATGTATATAAAATAAATCTCTTTATGAATGCGCTCAAGGGAGGCGTTTTCTACTACCGCCCAATGGATTCTTGCATTCATAATCAAACCTAGCAGACAAGGGACCTTTAAGGAACGAAATGACTTGGCTGTGGTAAAACTGTAGCAACTCAATTGGCAATATCCCTCCCGCCGGAAGTAGAGATTCCTATCTGAAATCCTAGCTGAAGTCTGCTACTGCAAAAATGCTAAAAACGTGGATATGGTTCGACGGCCCTCCGCTCAGGTGGCGCGTCGACGTCAAAATAAAATTGATTTGAAGAAAATCGTCCCACTAATAATCTCCCTACTCATCTCTGGTTTTACTGCCTTGTCTATCGTCTAAATGACATATCCACTCTCCAGAAGAATATCAGTCCATAGGAATTAAAAAATTTCCATATAATCCCAAGGACGTTCACTCTCATCCAGAATTTTTGGCAAATGCGCAAAAGTCTAGTATATGCGGCGATTGGCGCATCACTCGACTATTTCGAATGTGATAAAGAAAGAAGTGGACACCGGCATAGCAGGTGTGTAAGAAGAATTACCAAAATATCGTAGCAGCCAGTATCCACTCCGGCAAGGTTCCCGAAGAAAAATAGGCCAGCGACAGCAGATAAGAATTCTTCGAAATTTATGAAATTAAGTCACAACATATCAAGCACTGTTAAAGCGTCGAATTCGAATGAGAGTTAACACGTGACTGAATTCTCTATCTATGAAATACAACGTTCATATGCAGATATGACGGAATCCAGAGAGCGTGGCGACGAGGTCGATGTATTATTTTTGGTTATGACACAACGAGCATGTTTATATCGGCGTCTCGCTCGCTCGCAGAAACGCACCTAATAATACATCCTTGTCTGTCCAATGCAGATTCCTTATTGGTGAGTATTGTCGTAGCTGACTTAAGTCGGTTGTTCGAATACGAAGAATCCTCCAGCCTACGAGGCTCACGAATCCCACTTAACTCAACACTTTCATTAGTTATCGAAATGATTTGCTGATCCGAGTGCCGCTCGCTAACACGACTCTTGCCATTCGACGTTACTTTCGTAGTACAGTGTAACACTGGAATTCCTACTGGCTCGACGCACTTTAAGCAATCTTAGACAATCAACGTTCCAATAGATTCTTGCCAGTTGTCTAGTAGAATTTCAAACGAGACAGTCGCGCTCCGTGCATTTATAAAGTTCATAATCGGTGGTGAGTTTCTCATAATTTGTGGATTATTATCAATCTTATTGGGACTTAAAAAAATGGGTGAGTTATATCTGGAGAAGATCTGAACGTTTTCATACGATTTTTATAAACCTACATGGTTGCGAAACAGAATTGTTTTTTCCCCTTTTTTAAGATTGACAATCTGTATTTCTATTACTGTATACGAATATGCGTATTGGATGTGGTATCTGAAAATAGTATAATAGAAAGCATCGTCAAACATATAAACGTATTTGACGCGACTCGTATTGATCGGCGTGCGGTAACTATGACACTGGCAAAAAGCCGCGCGTTAATGGTAAAACGAAGTTTGTCATTTCTGATTGGCTGCACGCGTTGCTTGATTATGCAGTAGGTGATAAATATGGATAAGCATACGTATCCAGAGATGACGCGGTCTGTCTGAACATCTTGGCAATTCTCTTTCTAAAGCGCTGACACACTGTAACCCTTGCGGGTCCATCTTTGTATGTTATACACACCTGATGGGAAACGTCATGTGGTAAATTTATCTGATGTGTTCAAATGATTTACGTGCAAATTGACTCTGACGTTGACGTTCTCTCTCTGAGCTCTGGATTGGTTCACGTATGTAGGTGGATAATTATGGGCTGATACTCTGACTGCTTATCAAAAACCGATTCATGTGTGGATCATTTGTGCATAGTAAATGTTGAACTAGGTAGCTTGAGGTTGAGACTGTAGCAGTTGGTCTGGAAAAGATTGGGAAGTATTTTTAATTATTAAAAATCAACAGCAATGGCTAAGTCGAAGTCAACGGAACCGGAAGAGGGAGCTATGGGATTCAAGGACAAGCAAAAAGCCTTGGATACCTTGAAGATGCTGGACGGTCGTGATATCAGCTACCAGTATCACGTCATCATGAGTTTCGTGAGTCGTGCCAGGAGAACCCTTCAGATTACCAAGGACGAGGAGAAGCTGGCGAACCTTCGAGAGGCGCAGAAAGTTTTCGAGGACTGGTTGAACGACTACAAGGAGAATAATCGAGGCAAGGATAACTTGGCTTATCTGCCGCTTGAAACCGTCAGAGGGTTCAGATCTTTGGCGAAGAAGTATGAGGTCCTTGATGATAGTTTTTATCTGTAAGTTTACGGCTGTTATTTAAGATTTAGATTAGTTAAGAGTTGCTGAGTTTTGAGGATGCATTGTTGTTTATCTGACTTGCAGTGCTTATAAGAAAGAAAAGGGTGACTACAAAGGACTGCGTGCTGTCAGGTCTCAGGACGATGAGGTCACCTGGGACATAGTGAGGAATCGGAAGCTCAAGGACATCATAGCTAAAATTAAGAAAGAGCATATACAGTGGTATGAGACTGATGTCGGAGACTTTCGTGGCTTTCCAACTAAAGAACATACCCAGTGCATCCTCTTGGGATACAGTCCCGATCCGACGAAGATCAAAAAACTCATCTCGCAGGTCGAGGAGAAGTTTGGGAGCTTGAGTGATTCCGAGGATATGGAAGTTGAGGATGAGAAGCATAGAGGTACCAAGAGGAGTCATGACAGTTCCTCCAGCAGTGACAGTGAAGACGACGAGCCCAAGAAGAAGAGTCAGAAGAAGGAGCAGGAAGCTGTGAAACAGGAAAAGGAAGAAAGTGGTCTTAGTTTCAAGGACAAGCAAAAAGCTCTGGATAGCATAAAATCCTTGGATGGGAGGGACGTTTCGTATCAGTTCCACGCGATTACAGGACTGCTGAAGAGGGCTGATAGAGTGATATCTTGTACAAAGGACGAGGAGAAGATTAAAAATATGAGGGAGGCTGTGGAGGTCTTCGAGAACTGGGTCACTGATTACAATGTCAACAACAGATCCAAAGAAAACTTTGCCTACCTGTCTGCTGACCTAGTTAGAGCTTACAAGCCACTGGCTGATAAATATGGAATTGAGGACAATGGATTTCTGGAGTAAGGACCTTATTCTACTGGTAAACATAATTCTACTTGAAATGTATATCAAATGTTTCGTGTTGCAGGGCCTATGAGAAGGAAGATGGCGACTATAAAAGGCTCAGGTCGGTAAAGGTTCCTGATTCCCAGATGACGTGGGATATCGAGAGAAATAAAAATCTACGCAGTCTCGTCGACAGGATAAAAGACAAACATATTCCGTGGTTCGAAACCGATTCTGAACTGCGTGGACTGCCGACGGAGGAACACACTAGGTGTATCATGTGGGGTTTCAGTCACGAGCCGACGAAGCTTAAGAAACTCGTGCCAACTCTCAAAGAGAAAATCAACCCGTCCGAATGAACAGAATTGTTTTCCTTATAATTTTTAATTACAAATGCATTTTGTCGCCGTAAAGAAAATAAGATAGGCTTTATTTTGTTATTGATTTCTTAGTAAAAACATACGTAAGTTGAGTTACCATACCATATCATTGTATTTTTGGTACCACGAGTCAGTTGTGAAATACATAACGGACAAATTGTCCTAGAGGGTATTCTTTCAACTCCTATACGTGACCTACTAACGATGTAACTAGTGACTGCCGGAAAGGCAGAATCGGGGAGATTCTTACACAGTTAGTATAGTGGCGCCATCGGGCGTGGGGAAGTGAAATTGTTGCGCAAGAAGTGCAGCAATCGCCTGGAAGGCGTCAGATTAGGAGCACGTGCTCACGTGTGCCACCCGTAGTATACCGGTACCGTCGGCATCGAGAGGAGATGCCATGTTCATTTTTGCGGGGTAGAATTCAAGATGGCGCTCGAGCCGTCAATGTCAAAGTTTTTTGATTCCGCTGTGTGGAATCGATAGTTTTTATTACTCGTGGCCTCCACGGCGAGGGTGAGTTCGTGCATTCGAGGTTATAGGGCTAGTGACTCGGCGACCTTCGAAACGGGAGAGTCGCGTGAGTATTCGGCTTGATGTTAGCGGTGCTTGCCGCTGTATTAATTTTATTGTTTTTGAAACGTACCTTTGTGAATCGTGCTGTTGAGTCTGATACTATCTTTTCAGAGTGACGTTTTATGAAAAAGTTCATCCATACTCCGAATTTTTATATTAGGGGATTATTATTACCGTGATTACAGTGATATATTTTTTCTGATTTTGAAAAAATATTTTTCTAATGTTTGACATAACTTCAAATTCTTTCATTTTCCAAAAATTCACTTGTCACGCGCTTCTTTCGCTGGATAATTCCCTGTATATCTGCTTTGCCAGAAATAGCTGAGTCTTTGTCAGATATTCTACTGTTTCTTTCCCAAGGGTCCCTTCTGAGGTTGTTTACCCCTTCTCCAAGAAAATACCAAGAATCATTCTTTGAAACAACTTTGAAAAATAATACATCAGATTTCCTGTGATCGATAGTGTTCTCTTTATTAGAATGATTGAAGGGCTTCCAAAATTTAGAGTGGATATATAGAGTTTTAATTTTGGGGAAAAATTGTGATTTAAAAGAAATTGATATCTTGTATCATTATCAAGACACAAATATTTTTTTAGAATTTTGCAGTTATGTCTTAATAGTAAATATATAGTTAAAGTAAACTACATTATCCCAGTGAGCCAGTTTGAGCTCCCTTGGTTCGTTGCAATGGATAATAGTGAATTTAAGTAAGAAATGTCACTTGACTCATCCACCTTGGCTGATGCCGAAAGTGAAGCAGGGTCTATTTGTGACGAAGAAAGAATCAAACAGCTCTTCCAAGCATGCGATGCAGATGGAGATGGCTTCATCGACAGGTAAGTGAAAAAAATCATACTAATGTTATGTAGATTTATAAAACTTCTCCTTTACTCCTAAATCAATATTCAAACAGTAATTGCAATTCCTATACTAAAGATAAGGTATTCGATAGCAAACTCATATTTCATATAATAATCCAAAAAGTACATATATTTAGTAGAAAAAAACAAATCTAAATTCCCCCTATAAAATTCTATAATTTACATAAAATCCAGCATACCTCAGAAGGAACACATATTACATTTTCCACTAACTGCTCCATGTAGACTTTAATTATTTCTCTAATTAATTAAACTATCTGAATGGGCGTAAACACGATGCTGCAGTTGACAATGTACGACGACTCCCACAAAGCATGAACGTTGAATAAACTGCAGAGATATTGTAACGCGATATACCGTAGAAATTCTGAGTAATGATAGAATCGTGACGCGTAGTTTCTTTCATTCCAAGTAAAATTATTCCGCATGATACAAATCCCCCCCCCCCAGTCCACTCCCATCTCAGAGCATTACTTTTCCATCTCATGGAAATTAAAATGCCCACATACACGTTGCTCCAACCACAAATAAAAAGAGGAAGGACGAACCATTCCAAAAGTCAAGTCATCTCGAAAGTCGGCCAAGTCATCCAATTTCACGTTCTTCCATCCAAGTCAGTAGCCACGCGAAGGAAACAGTGACGGCCGTGACATACCTCTGCATATGTATGTATATACAATTCCCCATTCGTGCCCCATAGAGCAGAGAGCAGACATTATAGAGCATACAGCACAGAGTATAGGCATGCCTGCTAGGCCCGAGTCAAGGGACAAAGTATAGAGAGAGAATAGCTTTGTGTAAACGAAGCATAATGTGTTTGTCCCGAGGCCTGAATGGGACACTGTTTGTCGCTTGGGTTCGCCTAGAATTCTATACACGGGGATGCATGTGCGTAGGTCGACAGTGCTTGCGCACGCGAGTACGTCTCGGCAGGGCGGCTATTGACATTTTAAACGCCAGGGAAACAACCCTCCGCCACGTCCACCAACTCCCCACGAGACTTTAGAGACTGCTGCGCTTTTCCGATCGGTCACGCAGCATCCACTCGCAACGAAATAAACACGGTACGTGTTTGGAGTCCCAAATTTCCAATATCTACAAGAAGAACCGCTGGTTGAGAAAAATATGAATGGCTCGATATTTACACGGACCCGCTAACGGATTTACGTTTGTTTGAAAAGAAACGCCTCCTAACCTCTCCCCCGCGTGGCTCAAGCAAACGTTCTGCATTCGTTTAAACGACAACACGCCGACCCGTTTCGATTTGGATAAATATTTACACGAGTTATCATCGCTTTACTTAATTTACTCTTACTTATTTAACGAATAAGAAATACTCGTCAATCCTTCACTCTCGAGAGTACTTTTTCACGTCAATGAATTCCCTCGGTCCTCCCGCCGTTGCGGTTGACAAGACTTCTAATCTCTCGGTATATTCGTATAACGTGAAGACTCGTTAACCACTGTATGCTCGAATAGATGTCGACTAGGTTGAGAATGCTTTGTTCTATTATAAAAAGAGATGAAAGAGATGCACGCGAGTATCGTTGACTCGAGCACGCGACGTGCGCTTACATAACGACAGGATAGCTTGTCAGCAGCAGCTACGACCTGCCCTATATGTATGTAATCGCGCAACCGTCAGTGACATTTGGTATGAAAAACAGAACGGAACTAATACGATCTATTCGAAGCTAAAAATTAGGATTAGAGCAAGTAGGCACTGGCTTTAGGTTTTTCTGTCTTTCATAGCTTTCGTTAAAGCTCGCTTTCATAACCTCATTAACCTTGCACCCGACCCTTATCCCGAGGTGACGCACGTCTCGTTGGCTTCCTGATCATCCAACCGGATGCAAATTCTTCCCAGATTGCGAACGTCGAACAACCCGAGTACCCATTTCTGCGACCTGTTTGCTCTCGGCCATGTTCTACCTGCTTACCTTGCTTAGCCTGATGTATATACACGAGCTATGCCAGCTAGTAGCTGCTCCGTATACACATATTTAACTGAATTAAAAAGGTCTCAGATTTTCTTGACTACGTTAAAAAATTTTCACATGTCAATAGTCTGTTCCTTAGCCTCGTAATCTTCAGAAACTACCATCGCAAGGCGGGAGACCCTTGCTTTGTCAGTTGAACCCCAACTTGCGAGGGTTGTCCCAGGGATTGGAGGGTCCTTGTATTTTATGGCAAGTGACTCACTGCCTCGTTCCAGGCACGCGTTACGAAACGCATTGTAAAATAGCTACGTCACAGACTGCTGCTTTCCATCCCTTTATCATTCTTTTTATTTTGAACTCCGTTAAGCGCAGTTCTCGACAAGTATTAAAGAAAAACGAAAAGTTTTCTCGCCACACTCGACAGCTTTAATTGTATATCCAATGATTGAGTATTTGCATTTTCCTGGTCTAGACTTCCCAGTATTCAAATGGGTATATGCATAGAGAAGAAGCGGAAGCTCGACGCCAGGTGGCAGCACTGCTCGAACTAAAGTTCCAGACGAGCCTCTCTAAAGGAATCGTGATTCGTGACTCTTGCCATATGACTAGTGATTCACGAGAGACGAGTCTTGATTACGACCTTCGACCTCTACGCGTAGGCGTCTCAACGACCCCAAGGAATGGCTTCAATGAACCAGCCTCTACCTCCCGCCGCTTCAGATACCAACATGGGCATAATCTCCAGGCCGGTTTGTCGAGTGGAGGCACGCACAGTAGAAACGTGCCGCGTGTACCAGACCCACGCTAAATCCTGCCGAGGTCTAGGCGTACCCGGAAGGGACGTCCTTGCCGCAGGACCAGTTCCCAGGACGTCGACGACCCTCAGACAAATTTGCATCAGTCGGCGACTGCAGGAGGTGCAAGCGCCGCGATAAACTCGACGCTGCAGACGTGGACGGAAGCTGCGCTGATATAGGAGCTGGAACATTCTTGGCATCCGCCCAGAGAAGGATGAGTAGGAGGACGAACCGCGCTAAGCGTCAAAGTTGAGCAAACTCGAACATGGCGTGAACGGAAGGAGACGGAGAGTGAACTTGCAGTGGATAGAAATTCAGTTGACGCCATAATGCGAGAATATCTGTAGGTGAGAACCTGAGAGCCATGGGGAAGATCTATCTGTATTATGGGTTCCAGAACCCAATGTCGGATGATCCAGTTTTATTCGCCTGGCATTATTCATCTTGCTAGGCTGTTACCGACTGAGCGATAAATCCTATATACATGGTTATCGTTATTTACATTACCGCCATTGTGGACTGGAATATCTACCGTGCGGCTTCGACGCGATCGCAGCGTATAAATCGTCGGCCATAGATTTCCCGATGAAAACCCAGCAACGGGTTCGAGTTTTGTTCAGTCGGGCAACTCTGCACGTAGACGCCAGGTTTACCGATACCGACAACCCATAGCTGCATACTCGTACGTATAAACTGTCATTCGATACATTTACAGTATCATATCAATACCGATACCGAAACTTCAAAAGAGAGATTTTCATAGATAAAAGCTTGGATGAATTTTCATTTGATTTATATCGACACGCTAAAATGCAATCGGCCAGCCGATACTGTAGGAATCTTTCTGCATTTCTCATCGATCTCAAATAGCTTTGAAATCCCGCGAGCTTTTTCCTGCCGCCTGAAGTTCCCCGTGAACCTTCGACGTGCGCCGGTGGCTGGTAATTGCGTGAAATTGGCAGCT